ACCAAAATATATTAATTTAATTAATTTTTAATCTCAAACTACCCAATCTCTATGCATTTTTTAAATATTAACTCCAATTAAGCATTAAATTCTTATTTTTACACCCAAATCATTCATCAAGTTAATTTATTGCATTTGACGCTTCTTTAGTTCTATTTGAATGTCGCCTATCATTCTCTTATCTTCAAAACACGCCCAACTAGTTATGACTTTATTATACAAACTGCAGTTATAAAATGAGCTATCAATGTAAACCGACATAGGGAATAAGATGAATTATGATGTGCGATAAAGTGTGCTATTATTCATATTTCGAAGAAACGCTATTCACTAAAATATAGTAGAAGCAATAAATTCTGAACTCGCGAAAACTGAACAAGTTTTCTAAAAATGCTGCTAATATTTAATTCAGTTATTATTACTAATGTTAGTTTATTTAGGTTTTGTTTAAATATTGCGTTTGTACGAATCTGCATTTCTTGTCCTTGAAATATTTGCCCATTTAAAAATATTAGATGTGCTTATGATTAAAGTCTTTTTATAATAAATATTATTTTCTTTCCTACTAAATCATTTATTATGGCTTTTGGACAAAAACAAAAGAGAATTAACATTTGCAGCTATGTACTTAATACCTTAGTTTTTAAAGTGCATAGTCTGTGTAATAAATATTATAATATATCTAGATTTACCCATTTTCTTTGTGTTTATTTTAATATTTGGGTTTGTTGTATTTTTCGATGTTGTTTTGTTGTTTTAAGTGCTGAAAATTTTTGTGCATGAGTAGTAGCAATTAAATATGTCTAAACACTAACTGAACTTTAACATAGCTGAATACTGTGCATTTAACCAAGATAAAAATGTACTTTAAATTTAACATTTTTGTTGTAATAATCATATTTTTACAAACTAAATGTTATTTTTAATACAGCAAAGCGTTGATTTTAAATATATTAATTATTAATTGAAGTCATTTTATTTGTTTTGTTTATGTATTTTATTTATTGTCATTTATTTTATTTATTTTTCAGTTACTTTATTTATTTACTTTATTTATTTACTTTATTTACTTATTTTATTTACTTACTTTATTTTCTTATTTTATTTATTTATTTTAGTTAATGTTTGCAAAATTGAGAGACGGAATTTGAGCTCTACCAATGATTAGCTTTACTAATAACTAAACCAATAACTAAACTTCTTCTTTACACCAAAGTGAAGTGAAATATCACAGATTATTCTTGGTTGTTTAGTGTTTCACTACACTAAGAATCAAGCATAGTTCTTGGACTAGTGAACCACCAAAAATGTTTCTTTATACTGCTCAAAGTAACACTAAATTTTATAATTACTGTAATATGTGAGGTATTCATGAGAATCAGTACATTTATTTTTACAATACAATATAAAGTTATAAAGTAAGTATAATTTAAGATGTATGGATACACTAATTCTTCAAATAAAGTTAATTTGATAACCAAATATACGCACATAACAGAGAGAATCTTAAAATGAATTCGAGCAATACTGAACAAAGCGGAAGCGGCAAGAAATTAAATATTATGAAACTATTTGATACAAATGAGGCATGAACAGAAATTAAAATATAATTATCCTTACTGCACAACTATAATCATACATACACTTTGTAATCGAGTTTTGCTTTTGTAGATGTATAACCGCGTGCAGGTCTACAACAGATTCCCACCATCTCGAGCTCAATTGTAATCATTTTACTGATGTCCAAACGAACGAAATTTGTGTTCGGTAACTAAAAACATTCATGAAGAGCGTGAATAAGTGATTTAGGAGTAAGAATTATTGGTCTTTAGATTTCACTATACCACTTAAAGTGTATAGGATTGCTTTATTTGGTATTGATTTGAAATATGGTGTTCGTTCACATATTTTTTGGGGTTGTTCATCATCAAGTTTGGAGAGATATTACACTACAGTGTTTACGGTGTACAAATAATTTAAAAACATAACGAAAAGGCTCTTGAAATTAGATTTAAATAATGAATATGAAAAAAAAGCAGTCTAAATAATCAATATATTTTTCTCATTCTTTTCTATTTTGTTTTGCATCAAAATTACTTTACAATGTATGTAGAATGCGCAATGTACTTGATGTCTTTCATCAACTGCATTAGGCATGTAGTTTAGCTGATAACTCTTCTGAAATTCAACTTAACATTCAATCAAATTCTTTCCGAAAAATACTAATCTAAAAATTTAATATGTTTAATTATTAGCTTTTATATAAAATTGCATTCAGTGTAATTTATGAATATGATAATGGTGCATGATAATGGCTTTTATAGCAGAGGAATTGCAGTTAAAAACTATAAGAAATTAAATATGTACTGAATTTGAAATTTTAGAAAAACTAATAATCTTGTTTGCATCAGTTATTTTTTTGTTGCTTATAGCTTATTTTTATATTAAAAAGGTTTAATAAACGTCGTCATGAAATATAAATTAAATTCTTAATTAAAATCCAACAGTGGGGGAGTAATCAAATTAATACCTAGTGTGAGGCAAATTACTCATAGTTTTCCAGACTTTTTTCATGAAACACAATTCTATATCTCTTGCTTTGTATAACACTATTTTAATTAGTACTAATGAAAAATCTTTGTTTTCTTCTAAAACTGCTTTTTAAGAATTGCGAGTAAGTTATTAACTTTTTATACTATCAGAAGAATGTTCCAATATATGACTTCCATTAAATGTTAATAACATCAGAGGATCAGAATAAAAAGCTTTAGTTTCCACTTAATTAAATTGTAGCACTTAGTTAAAGTTTAAAAAACGAATTTCTTACTCATCTTTAAATTTTTATTCCGGTTCAAAAATTTATTTATACATAATTAATAGGTATAAAACTATATTTTTTGCTTTTATACGAATACCTAATATTTAAATATTGTTCGGTTTTATGTATGCCAATTTGAGAGATTTTTCAGTTATTACCCTCTTTGCTGGAAAAAGTATTGCTGCACGCGTTTTTCACTTTTATAACTAAAACTATTGAATGAAAAATTTAAAAATTGCCCAGTTTTAGATACATTTTTAGTGAATTATTCTAATATGAAAGATTCTGAGAAGGAAATTTATTTTGGGGGTTAATACACGGTCAATTTTGGGGGTCAATTTTATTTTCGTTACATGATTCAGTTTAGAGAAAACTGTTACTAAAAGGATTATATTTTTCTGCTTTAATGTCTGGAGAAGTGTAATACGCGTTGTGTAAGGCCCCTTTGATTTTTTTTTCGTCGCAAAATTTTGAACCAGTTTTGGTGTCAAATTTTGCAGCTTTATGTTTTTTTTCTTTTCCTTTCAGGTTTTTAATGTGAAAGAAAATTAATTAAGTGGAAAGTGGAATTATAAATGGATATGTCTAAAGATAACTTTTTTTTTCGTACGATATATCTTCGTATATGTATGTACGATATATGTATCGTACGATATACCTTCGTATTACTTATTCTGTCGTGCGATTGACTTCACTATAGATTTCGTGACAAGTGGCCTAACTACTATTTAATTTCACTTTTCAATGATATCAGCGTTAAAATAAAATTTCAGATTACTGATAAAGTAGACTATTTTTTTTTCAAAATTTTTGAAATACGTAACAGATAATACAAAACTTCCAAATATAAAAAAAATCTCAGAATCGAATTTTTGTTGATTACGTTGATTTTTCTTTTGCACTGGAGCGTTGGAGTTTTTTTACTTTCACGTTACGTTTTCATTCTTTCTTTGAAAATTCTCTTACATAACCTAGATTTATATATAATTATTTAAAAATTTGTAAGTTAACATTACCCTATATCCTATTAAAATAGATTATTTAATTAGAAGAGTCGATGTTAAGACATATCTAATCTAATATAAAGAGGTTTCTACAAATTTACCATCGAATTTAGTACACAGCATTGTGTTTCTGAAAAATGCTTTTTTTAAAATTGAGAAAGAATGCAGATCTGCGGTTTGTTTTTGCCATATTGATAGTAACCCAAATTATTGACCGCTTTTTATTAAGTATTACATAAATGTTTAGAATATAAAATTAAAACGCATAGATGTCGATTAGAAGTTACTTTTTGAGTGTTTTAAATTTTTAAATTTCAAATTTGAGTGCAAAAGTGATTATGCAAACCACCAATATCTTGATTTTGCTACGTGCTTATTGGTAGTCCGTATGAGTTCTTAATTAGAGAGGTAAAATGAGCAAGCTAACCAATTTTCTGAAGATCAGCACAATTCATTCCAGGGTAAAGCACACATGAGCCACTAATATATTTTAAAAATGTAAAATAATTTAGTCATACGGTGTCAAGTAAAATTATGGTGAAATGAGCAAGTATAGTGATCCTAAAGGAACTACTTAACATTTGTGAGTTTAGTGAACTATATCAATAAGCCCCTTAGTGAAATAAGAAAACAGTTTTCCTTTAAAACAGACAAGATAGTTTAGAAAAAAACATTCGGATAAGACAAAAACCATGAAATCAAAAAGCTCAAAACAGGAATCTCCTTCTACCGCTTGTTTTAGTTTGCTTTACTCCAGACACCGATTTTTCAATCCAGCGATGACCCACTTCCCTGTTTTGTTTCAAAACGTGATTCTTTACATTGTTTTAATTCAGGTAACAAATTTTAAAAGAAATAAAGCTTGTATTAGAATTGGGGCCAACTAAACTAAGAGTAAAATCTCCAAAAAAAATTTTGTATTTAAAGGCAATTGAATTGTAAATTAGCCTCCAGTAATCGCTGACACATTTCATTCCAGATCACTTCAGCTTTTATAACATATTTTTTATACTTTATTTTCAACCAGCTGTTCTCATTTCTTTGTCCATTGGGAGCTGAAGGATAATGTATGCTTTCATTTCTTGTAAACATATACTTATTTTTATAACTTTTATATGTATTCATAAAAATGCATATTCCAAAATTTTTCTGTTTATTAAAAGCATTTCAATTTTCAGTTAACTGATCATGGGTATGGGTTGTCCATTTCATTGTTCTGGAGATCGTGCAACATCGACTCTACCAACTTCAAGCAAATGTCCTGTAAAAGAAAGTAAACAAGAAAAAGTTAATGAAAAATCTCAAAAGTTGGGTCTTTTTGAAGAACATCAGGATGAAAACGGAGATGGAGAACAATTGAGCTTGAAAGCTTTAGCCACAGCTGTTAGAGTTCTCACTTCTCCTCCGGTAAGTGCATCTTTTTCTCACTTCTATAAAATTAGAATTCAAGAAGTGTGTTAATATAAGCAGGCATTCGAGAATTTAAATAAATTTTTAAATTTTCAAGCAATATATTGATACTGCTTCAAATTTCTACTTTTGAAATAATACCTCGTTAATAATCAGATTGAGTGAATCCATTCAAATTTGTATTATTTTTTTTTTAAAGAAATTATTTACTTCAACGCGTTTTTATCACGATTTAATTAAACAATTTAGCCTTCGTTTACTTATGAGACGCTTTATGATTGGATACATAAACAAAAATAATCGAATAATTCGTAAATACATTATTATATATGTGAAGCAACCAGTAATTATCTTATGAAGTGAAATATTCAAAATTCCAATCCTCTTACATTTAAATCTTCGATTCGATACTTGAATTTTCCCAAGTGCATCAAATGAGATATTTAGGGTCTTACGAATATACATATATATATAACCGTCGTTGAACAGCTGACCAATTTTTGGGTTTACGACTACTATTCTTCAACTCCGTAGCCTTGCAATTTTGAACCAATTCAGAAGACAAGGAAACTCCTGGATCAGTACCTAGTATGATTTATTATGAGAACAAGGAGGATTTAGTGACTCGACAGATTTAACATGCATCAGTCACCATTTACTACACTGGAAGTCTTCGGCCGGCGGGGATTGAACCCACGACCTCTCGGACATGGGCCCAGTGTCCTACCAACAGGGCTGTCACGATCTCACACAACATATTTATTTACTTACATTTTATAACCGTCGTTGAATAGCCGATCTAATCCTGGTCTTACGACTTCCAATGTTCAACTCCGTATTCTTGTAATTTTGATCCCAGTAGAGAAGACAAGGAAACTCCAGGATCCTCCAGAGGTATTGATTTGTTATGGGAACATGGAGAACTGTGCGACCCGACAGATTTCACGTGCATCAGATGTTTACGTGTTACAGATGTTTACGACTTACAATAAGTTAATTAATGGTGAAGGAAAATTGACACAATGACTAACCCTTCCTGAATTTTCGATATCGAAAGATTTATTTTCTGCTGTTTTACTACTTTAAATTTTTTGAATACGGATTTAAAGGAACGCAAGATTAAGAAAGAAAACAAGAAAAATATACTTTAAAAGAAAGAAAAATAAATAAAAAAAGTATTTTTTATAAGTATAAAAAAAATACAAACTAAAAAGCTAGAATATTAGTTTCGAAATATTAGTTTATGAATAATAATTAATTTCACTTTCAAACCAAGCTTAATTAGATACATAAATTGTTGTATTTAAAGATTTCGTCATTTAAAGTGCACAAGTATATTAAACTACTAATAAAAATCTTAACTAACTCGTTTTATTCTTATTCTTATATTAGTACTTACACAGATGTATATTTCAGCTATATGTTATGGGGTCATAAATAAATAGAAAGCTATGAAATAACCACATAATTTTCTTGGTTGAAAAAGATTTAGAACATGGGATATTGATATTTAATTAACGACTCACAAATGTAAAATGAATTATTTAATTAATGCTACACAGAAGAGCATGGATGTGAGAAAACTTAATGTGAACATTTTTATTGGGAATTATTGTTCAAAATTATTACCCAAAATAAAATTTGCTTTTCTTAATCGCTATGCAAGAAGTGCTTTTTTGGTTATGAGAATTTTTTATGAATGCTTTGGAGAAAATATCGTTATTTTTGAATATTTAATTTGCTTCATCTGAAGTTCAAATTTTTCGCAAAAAAATAAATATAAAATTCCTACTGAATTTTAAATTTTGATCGAATATTTTTTGTTTAAAAGCTCAATTTGTTTAATTTGTATCATTGACTCAGGAATAATAGGATTTATTTACAAAGGTGATATGTATAATCTACTTTTGGACAAATAATTATAGTGATAATAATAAGAACGCTCATCGTATAAAATTGCTGCATTTTACGCTTAATTCAATCAATTAAAAATAGCTTCTGGAAAATAAAATATGAGCTTTAGTAGCATTCAGACAGTAAAAATTTCGTTATTTTGCAGTTTAATATAATAATGCTTACAATCTCATACAATGCGTAAATTATTGAGCTACATAAAACCAAAAGCTATATTATATGATAAACTATACATGATAATATATACTGTATGATAAAAGTTATCATCATTGGTATCAAAGTTAAAATTAGGATTGGCGAGTCTAATAGATGAATACTAGTTATAGATGAGCAGTAGTAAGTTTTTGCTTTGTGTAAATAGCACTCTGGATGTATGAATGAAAACATAGAAAATAAAAAATAGCGTTGAGGAAAACCTCTCTCTTGACTGACAATCACACCTTCCAAATTGCAACTAAACCCGCCTTTGGCGCTTAAAAACATAAATCTTTCGAAAAAGACTAAGCTTATTTTCCAAAAAAACGCTTTTATGTCAGGTTTTATGACTTAATTAGTATGTAGTACTAAATAATAAGCATATTTAAAGCGTAAAATCGAAGCATTAAAATTTAAACGTAGTGCATTCGTATTTTTACAGAGATGCAAATCTTAAATAATTGTAATATAAAATTTTATTACTATAGTGGCGTTTTTAACAGATTTAAATTAAAAAGAGAAAGCATTAGGAAAATGCATTGTGCAGACACCATGCGATTTAATCGAATATACAGACAATATAATATTGTTCTTAACTAGTTGGGTAAATTTTAGATTTAAGGGCAAAAGAGTTTATACATTTTAAGTATGTAAGTTATTAGATCTTCTTAATGCAATTATTAACCATTTTGGTATCATTTGCAGCAGTGAATATTGCGCAAGCAAAAAAAAGAAGAAAAACCTGAATAACTTTTGATTGGATCTTCGATTTCTAGGACTTTATCTTAATGTTTCGAGGGGGTGATCTCAAATATTCTAATTAGTGCACACGATACATTAAGTTGAAAAGTTTTGAGTGTTTCGTGAGAAATCAAATTTTAAAAATGCGACCTCTTTGAAATACGATTTTTTAGGAACTATTTGACCAATTTCGCTCAAATTTTGTATTTTTCTATGTCACATTTTATTTTTTGAAATGATGCAAAAAATTATGTACTTCACGTTTCAATTTCTTTCGACTATTATCAAATAAAAGAATAAAACATAAAAATATTTACTAAAAGTCATTTTTTGCATCGAATTATCTTTGGATAAACGAATTTTGAAAAAGTGCGCAAAAATTTTTCAATTCATTTAAAAAGTTCTCAAGATATAGTGAAATACGTAGATGGAAAAATTAGTATTAAGGACTCCAAACTTTGAATCGTTCTTCAGACGAAACTATGGGTAACATATTTACCAAATTCTGGTTAACCTCTATATTTTGGGGGTCAGGAATCTAAATTTGTCGGAAAAAATGTTTATTCAGAGAAAATTAATTTTTGTGTCAGATTTTGTTCCTTAAAATATATTCTGCGCTAATTAGTTAGCCTTAACCCCCCAACCATTTGGGTTGAGACCTAAAACGTGAAAATGCAATCATTAGATCAAAAGTTATTCAGGGTGGTACATTTATTTTTCTTCGCAGACTGTATAACGGAATAGTAAAGTATCAGAAGTGTATTATTTAATGCTAAGCAGTCCAATTTTCTTTTTTTCTTACTTTAAAGATCAAGATTTTAAAATCACTCAGTCATTGACAATTGTATGTTAAAAATCTAAAAATTATTCCAAAAACACCAATATATCCTAGGAAAAGTCCAATACAACTTATGACGTAAAGGCACTGTTTAAGTTGAAATTTAGTTGATGAGAGCAATATATCATATCTTGACAAACTGTCAAGGAATCAAAAAAATGAACTTGTTTGAACAAAGAAATGAATGTTTCTATTATTCCTCTAAGTTGCTTAATTTCTTGTACGTAATACCGATTGACAGACAAGAGTATTTAATGAATGATAATGGATGAATTCTTTTGAAAATGCTTACTTTTTCCTTTAAATTTGCAAGAATTAATTAAANGTCATTTTCTGCATCGAATTATCTTTGGATAAACGAATTTTGTAAAAGTGCGCAAAAATTTTTCAATTCATTTAAAAAGTTCTCAAGATATAGTGAAATACATAGATGGAAAAATTAGTATTAAGGACTCCAAACTTTGAATCGTTCTTCGGACGAAACTATGGGTAACATATTTACTAAATTCTGGTTAACCTCTATATTTTGGGGGTCAGGAATCTAAATTTGTCGGAAAAATTGCTTATTCAGAGAAAATTAATTTTTGTGTCAGATTTTGTTCCTTAAAGTATATTCTGCGCTTATTAGTTAGCCTTAACCCCCCAACCATTTGGGTTGAGACCTAAAACGTGAAAATGCAATCATTAGATCAAAAGTTATTCAGGGTGGTACATTAATTTTTTTTCGCAGACTGTATAACGGAATAGTAAAGTATCAGAAGTGTATTATTTAATGCTAAACAGTCCAATTTTCTTTTTTTTTCTTTAAAGAACTTTAAATAATATTTTAAAATCACTCAGTCAATGACAATTGTATGTTAAAAATCTAAAAATTATTCCAAAAACACCAATATACCCTAGGAAAAGTCCAATACAACTTATGACGTAAAGGCACTGTTTAAGTTGAAATTTAGTTGATGAGAGCAATATATCATATCTTGACAAACTGTCAAAGAATCAAAGAAATGAACTTGCTTGAACAAAGAAATGAATGTTTCTATTATTCCTCTAAGTTGCTTAATTTCTTGTACGTAATACCGATTGACAGACAAGAGTATTTAATGAATGATAATGGATGAATTCTTTTGAAAATGCTTACTTTTTCCTTTAAATTTGCAAGAATTAATTAAAATTAATGTTGTTCATGATGAATGATAGTATTAATAGATAAAATGTGAGTTGAGAATGTTATTATAAATTAGTAAAGGAAAATATTTAGAGATTATTGAACACAAACTTTGAGGCGATTAAGGACTAAACACTTAATCGC